GAAACAACTTCAGTAGTAGACTTTAAGAACACTGATTTATTATAAACTCGGATATTTCTGCCACTCCTGTGGCCTTCATCAGCGAGGAAGACCACAGGAGTGGCAGGAATATCCGAGTTTATAATAAATCAGTGTTCTTAAAGTCTACTACTGAAGTTGTTTCATTATTTTCTATTATTCTGTCGGAACACACGTGGAACACAAATGAAATATATATATATATATATCATGATCAGTTGCCTGACGATCGCAATAGCGAGCAACATTCTGTTCCAGCGACCTCCAGTTCTATATATATATATATAATGTATATTTAATATACCTATAAATAAGTATCATTGTCATTATGTTATTATTGTTCACATCGTTATTATCATTAATTTTTATATTAAATGCCTTTTTTATTAATATTATTTTTATTAATTGCTGTTTTTATTATTGTAAATGAAAAAGGAATAACAAAGGCAAAGATTTAAAACACTTTTTGCTTTGCATTCAAATTTCTTTTGGTAATTATTTCGTAAATATACAGAAAACAAAATTGGGGCCGGGATTACTTGCAGCCGAGGTTGATGACTTGGGGGCCGAGTTGACTTGGGTCCGAGTTGACATGGGACCGAGTTGACTGAGGCCGAGTTGACCTTCTTCATTTGGGCCGAGTTGACCTGCATCCAATCCAAATCTACCTAGTTCGGGCAGTCCGTCGTACTGAAACTCAAGCTAGGCATTAGAAGGGACTGAAATGACTCAGCTTATAAAGTTAAATCCATGACTACAAGCAGAATGCCAAGGAATTTTGGCTAGGCCTAGGCCCTAGTCCCAGAGTTCATGATCCTCCTATTGTACAATTCGACCCCGATTACACGCCATTCTTTCCTCTAAAAAAATGCTCGATGATGCATGAAATTTAACCTAGGCCTAGGCCTACAGAGATTAAATTAATCTGAAATGAGATTATTTAAATTAAATAATACTTAATTAATACACACTCCCATCTGTTGCTGCATCTCAGCCATTCTACGGGCTCGAATTTCCTCTAGTTCAGGATCAGCCATGATAAATCAGAGAAAAGTTCAGCTAGCCCACAGAGCAGATTGACAGTATTCGAAGATCGTCTAGTTACTCTACTCTTCGAGCATGCAAAGGCTTCGAGCAAAGATACAAGAAACACAAGATAGTATGGAACGCCGTTACTGCCTTTGGCGGCTCTTTTCCGTTCGGCGCATTTGCTATTGAAAGAGAAGAAATAGAGAAGGAGCGCGCAAGTTCCACTAGGCTCGTTCCCACAACTGTTGATTTTTTCCACTTGACCCGAAGTCAAAGGTCATGAAAGCACCGAATAATAAAAGAACCGTACGTAAATGATGAAAGGGCCGAAAGGTAAAACTAAAAAGCACCAAATGATAAAAGATCCATAAGTGTGGCAAAAGCACCGAACGTAATGATAAAAGCACCGAACGTAATGTTTCAAAGCACCGAACGTAATGTTAAAAGCACCGAACGTAATGTAAAAAGCACCGAACGTGATGTAAAAAGCACCGAACGTAATACGTAAATGCACCGAACGTAATGTTAAAAGGGCCGAATAGCAAATGCGCCGAACGGAAAAGAGCCACTAAAGGCAGTAACGGCGTTCCATACTGTACAACAAAAATTATGGTCAGGGGCAGCTGTTTAAGCAAAATTTTACTATAATAACTCATTGAGAGTCAGCTGCCCCATTGAGATTCAGCTTTGGTGATGCAATTTGTGTAAGTTGTGAACAGGTGTAGGCTGAACTAGCCTAGTGTACAAAAACAACCATTACTACCTGATCGAAAGTGGGTAAGTAGGGGAGGGACTGCTTCGTTTATGTACGGCCTAGACCTGTCGGTATAGCGGGGACAGAGAGGCTAGGTAGGTTAGCCTAGGCCTAGGCCCATGCCTTACATTAGCTAGGCCTAGGCCCCTACTAGGCCTGTCTCCTCAAAGAGCTGAAAATTAATTTGAAAAAAAAAAAAAAGAAGCATACAGACCTGCTTTTTAAAATACTACTCTACGGTAAAGCTCTTCATGTCTGAGATCAAAAAAAAAAAAAAAAAAAGCAATTAAAACAAAACAAAGCAAAAAAATCAGAAATTTGTCTTATTTTACAACAAAAGATGATAAAAACACTTCCAGTCAATTGAAGAGTTTTTATTATTTTTATCATTGGTATAAAAATCAATTCAATAATTTCTATGCTCAATTAAGTTATAGCTAATACCATATTTACTATTTTAATTAAAGTTTATTTTACTATTAAGTTTATAATGATGAGCAAGTTCATTTCTAAAATTATTTTTAATGATTTTTTGTCATTTTCAGGGGACAATTATATATCCTTTAAAAATGCTGATAATGATATACAGGCCCGTTGCCAGTGGGGGGAGGGTGAACAACCCCCTCCCCGGCCCACATTTTTGAAAGTGTATGTAAACATTTCTAGACTGACATTTCTGGACATCTAAGGATTGAGGTCATGAAAATTTAGTACTAAAACAACAACTGTCATTAGTGACAAGTCCTACAATATATGAAAATAGGCTGCTGGTCTATGAACAAAATTGTTAATTTACCATAAAAAATATTACCAATTATTTAATGTTTGCAAGAAAAGCTTTTTGTCATACATTAATTTTTTATTTCATTATATTTACTTAGACGTCAACATCCTTTTTACAATATGTCGGTAGTTGGTCAACACAATTTGGACAACATCTTTGATACACTGTTAGCAAATATACAGCTAATAATTGACGAACTGCATGGAGGCGAGACAAATAGACAACCAGATGAACACTTCAAACTGGATGATTTCTGGATTAAAATGGGTAAAACAATTATTTAAGATTTTTATCTTAGATTAGAACACTCATGCTTGAATATCATAACATACATGTACACTCTTTAGATTTGCTGTATAATTATTTGTGGTACCTTCAAGGGATGCCAGTCGACTCGCCCCCTAGCAAACTCGCCCCTTGCAATCTCTCACCCCATTATATAAGGTATTAAGGTGACTGATTACCAATGTATTTCTTCTTGTCACGTCTGCACAGCACTATCTATACAAACACGCTCACAAATATGCATTAAGACGAACACAATAAACACAGCCACAACCTTGTTCATGGCCTGTATAGGAGAGCCTCGTTTATTCAACAACAACAGTGCATAGCACTGAGTGACATAACCATAAGCATGTGCACGTCGCATGTGCATGTCGCGGCAAGTACGTATTACTACTCTCTATAGAGTAGTACCATAATACCATCAGTATATAACATTTCTCCCTTGTCAACTTTTATGTAATCTTTAGATTAACATAATATTAAGTCCATTTTAACAACTCAGGGCTCGAAATTCGCACTAGCAAACTAGCAATGTGCTAGTACGTTTGTCATAATTGCTAGGCAAATATTCACAAACCAGCAAATAAAAACAAATATTGGTAGTTGGAATATCTATACAAAATATCTTGTAATTAGCCTAGTAAATAAAACAAATTAAGTCAAATAAAATATGAAAGAAAAATTACATGAACTGTAAACTAATATAATATAAAATAAAGTTTATTTTATATTACCTGTATATTATATTTGAAAAATTCCAAGAGGTACATCTTTAATATGAAAAAAAAGTCAGATACAAAATAATAATTGAATACATTATATACTTAATTTATTTTAAAAATAAATAAATTATATAATATATTATTCAATTTTTATTTTGTATATCTGTGATTTTTCATAATAAATATGTTCTGAAACTGCAGTGAATAAATGTACAAGGTATAGAAATCAATTGCTGATACGCATTTGGCTACTTCTTTGTGATATTTATTGTACTACACTCACCATAACAAAAAATATTATATTACAACATTTAACACACAAATTTCAATAGAAGTACATCATAATCATTAGTTGTTATTTTCATACAATTTATTTTCCAAAAAAAAAATCAATATATCAATATATTTTACTAGTCGAGCAACACATTTTGCTAGTTATATTTTTGATGACTAGCAAATTTTAGAATAGGTTGCTAGTGGCTAAAAAAGTAAATTTCTAGGTCTGACAACTAAACAATTAAACTTCAAAACAGAACAATGCATACTTTTACAGTATGGTATATGCTTTCAACACACGTTAACCATACATCAAATAGTTATGCCTCAATTAAGATAGAGTACTTAATGTTTAACATTCCTCTATGTACCTTTTTGTTTGTTTACGTGTACGGTTCTAATGGACTTTCTTATTCCTATTTCAGGCTTATCGCTTACAGCTTCACCTGGTTTATCATTTAGAACCATAGTCCTATCATTATCCTTATCGTCAAACAACTTTTCCCATAATTCATCCGGTACTTCAGATTCTTCTAATTCACCTTTCTCTACTAATGGTTCTGAATACCGAATCCACAGTTGACTTCCTACACTCACTTGATACCGCAAAGTTTCTTTACAATTACCCCAGCAGACCATTTCATCTTATCCTTCCCTCGAAAGTCTTGTGTATACCAAATCATTTTAATACTTCAGAGACTCTCATTCTAGATTTAGACTTTTGCATCTCATTATGTAAACCTGTTTCTTACAGATTCATTCAAATTTGGTCTCAAAATATCCAATCTAGACATCAAAGGGCGCTTCATGAATATCTGAGCTGGCGTCTGCTTAGTTAAGTTATGCTCTGAGTTGCGATAGGCTAACAGGAACCTACTTAATCTAGTATTAATTGAGCAACAATCATGTTTGGACGCCTTAAGACCCTGTTTCATTGTTTGGACGAACCTTTCCACTTGTCCATTGGTTGCAGGTTGCCCTGGACATGAAAATTTATGGATAATCCCATTTTCCTTCATAAATTTTGCAAATTCGTGAGAGAAAACTGCGGACCATTGTCCAATACCACAATTTTAGGTAACCCATATCTACTATCAATGATCTTAATTCTTCAGTGGTTTTCTCTGATGTAGTAGAACTCATAATTACAACTTCTGGCCATTTTGAGAAGGCATCAACAACGATTAAAAACATTAATCCCTCACACGGACCAGCAAAGTCAATATGGATTCTCTCCCACCTTGCTGTAGCAGGTAGCCATGGGTGTAATGGAGCTAAAGGAGGTTTCGCTTAGTCGCTGACACAAATCACATTTCTTAGCAATCTCTTCAATCTGGCTATCAATCCCCGGCCACCAACAATACGACTGTGCTAGACTTTCATTTTCACTATGCCCATATGGCCTTAGGATTTTTTAAAACAAGGGAATTATAACTTTGACTTAATCTACAAACATAACCATTTTTTAAAACATTAACTCTACAAAAAGGAATGTGAAACATAGGATTGTTTCTGAGACGGCGACTGGGAACTCTAAAATTAGAGACTAAATTACAATCGAACATGGCATTAACACATTTATATAAAAAAACAAGATCAAAAAAATTTCTACGGGACTCAGGAGATTGAATGTTAAGGGGAATATTGTGATTCTGGTTGTGGCTGATGTAGCGCAAAAGACGATTGTGCAGCCTGTGAATGCGTGCAGATTGGGTTTTAGAAATTGAATTGTAAATAACGGAACAAAAATTTAGGGTTGGTTGAATAATAGTGAAATTTCTTGACCATTGTCAATATGAGACAATATTGCTCCCACTCCATCTGGGGAAGCATCTGTCATCACCTTTAATGCGAGATCAGGGTTAAAGTGTACTACAAATCCTGAATTCGCTAAAGCTAACTTTGAATTTTCAAAGGCTTTCTTGGCTTTGGCAGACCATTTGAACTTCGACCCCTTTTCTAACATTACATGTAATGGCCTCAACAGGGTCACCAAGTTCGGAATAAAAGACCGGTAATAATTAATCATGCCAAGATACGATCTCAGCTGCCCAACATCTTTGAGTAATGGCATCGAAAGGATTTGATCCGTTTTGATCTGTCTCTATGTACCCCCTCCTTATCAATAACATGTCCCAGGAATGATACAGAGTCCCGCGTGAACTCACATTTCTCCTTTTTGAGTTTCAAACCGTATTCGCTAAACCAGGTCAACACCTTGTTCAAATAATACTATGTTGGCTTTAATACCTTTAAGAAGACCCAGTTTGCCATTAAACAGACTCTTATGTTTGTCTAGGACCCTTTTCAACTCTGACATTTCCTCTAGTTTATTAATGTACTGAGTACCATCTACCACTTCTTTCCAATTTAACTTTATGCTACTTAACCAATCTCTACCAAACAACAACTGCTTTGCTTCATTTACAATGTAAAGTTCAAGTAACTTACATTGGAACTTGTAAACCACATTAACTTTGGCTTTGCCTTTTGGTTTAACTTTTTCACCAGTAAAACTCTTAAAACGTATGTTTTAAGAATGTAAAGTTCAAGTAATACATTGGAACTTGTAAACCACATTAACTTTGGCTTTGCCTTTTGGTTTAAATTTTTCACCAGTAAAACTCTTAAAACTTAATTGAGCATCACTTAACTCTAAATTTGGAAATGTATCGTAAAACACATGCTCAGGGATTACTGTATAAGTAGCCCCAGTGTCCAGTTCAAAGTTCAAGTCCTTGCCATTCACTTCCACTTTTATCATCATTGGTTGTACTACTGGTTGCGCATTAAGTGCGTACATGGATGTTACATCCGCTTCATCACTATCATTATCATCATTCGTGTAATCTTTGTGTATTCCGCCTGATTTGGACCGACACACCTTTTAATATGTCCTTTTTTCCCACAGTTGCATGTTTTACTATACAATACGATACGATATTCTTTATTGTCATTTGAACAACAGGGTACAAATGAAATTCAAGTGATTGATCAAGGTACAATTTCAGAGAGGAATAAAGAAAAAAGTAAACTAACAAAGAACTCCATGAGACATATTCAAATAACTTAAATCTAATGAATCTTAGTGAATCTTATTGGTGGGTGTGGAGTCAGGATCAGGAAAGACATCACCATGACCCTCCGGCTACAGGAATAGGGGACAGCACTGCCCTGAATCTGCAAAAACAGCCAGAAACTAGAAAATAGCCTGGTAGTCACAGAGACAGAAAACAGCTAACTGTCTGCCGGTGGATATGAAACCAGCAATCATTTGGTTTGTGTGATTTACGACCACAGCGAAAGCATCCTCCTACACTTGGTGTTGGTCTATGGGATTTAGATTGGCCTGACTTCCTTACAAATTTGGATTTTTGTCTCCCCTTTGGCTGTTGTAAAGCCTGCACCCGGTTAACATCATCACCCATTGCTTGGCTTGCCGTTGTACTAGCTCGTACGAGTTGGTAACACTCACTGCTTTGTCTAATGTTAGGTCGCTTCCAAGGGCTGGAAATTAAGGGTTATTTTTTAAGGTGCAACAAGGAATTCAACTTTGTCGCGCTCAGTGCGACAAGGTCATTTGATAGCGCGAGTCGATTTTGTAAGCGGCAGGAAGGTGGTTTCCCTCCAAATCTCAATTATTTACAACTTGTACAGCCCATTATTTTCAATCAGGCAGTATGCAAAACATGCTATCATTCATTTTACATGTACTGTATCAACCAATCAGCATGACCTAGGCTGTTAAAGTGTGACATCGTACACTAAAACCGTGTCGATGTGCGCTCATCTTATTCTTGGTAAATAAGCAATCTCCGTCGAAGCGAAGGAGACTGGTATAAAAACATCAGATTGCACGATTTTTTACTATTTTATTGAGTGCTACTCTTACCTGTACCTCCTCGTAATTATGAACGTTTCCTTAACGTATTTGTTCATAAAATAGAATATGTACCAATATTTTAAACGATCGTATACAGTATTGACTCATACGATGTCTACGGCCCAGCATCCAGCAAAATCAAAATTTAACACTAAATAGATCGTAAATAAATACAATTAGGCATCATCTGGATGATTATATTCAAAGTACTACCGTTATTTAAGGCAGACATCTTTTATTGAAAACCAAACGAATTACCTAAACCTCATACATTATGATATAAGATTACGCTTCTTCAATCACGTGGCTGATGATAACAAAGGGTATAAATACTCTTTGATGATAACCTCAGCCAGACTTCACGAAATTATTATGTGTAAATTGATTTAGAGTTATCTCATAAAGACCAAGTTCCATCCACACATATTAAAAATAATGCCAACTTCCACGCAAATGTTGCAGTAAAGTCGGTCGGTGGCTATTGTAACCGATGTATAGGCATTCGCAGTTCGCAGTTAATGCGATTCTGCGGACCTATTTTCTCGAAATTTCCTGCACAAATGAAGAAAAATACTGAAAAATTTAAAGGAGTGTACAGAAAATATAATTAATGTTTCAGTAATAATAATTAATAATTTTATAAGTTTGTTGTTGCTTGGAAAATGTCTCTGTTAACACGCCCCCAACAGACTCGCCCCCTAACAAACTCACCCATAACCTTTCTGTTATATAGGTAGGTATCTGGTAGGGGGGGGGGGGGGGTGAAATGTACCATAAATTCTACTTTCTGTTATACTTAGTAATAGTATTAATTTTATCAATTTGTCTTTTTTTACAATGCTTGACTATACATAACATAATACATTTTTGTATCTTTTCAGATTACAAGTTTTTTACGATTTTTATTGTTTCAGAACTTTTAATTACCGTACAATTAATATGAATATATTATTAGCGTGTTTTTCAGTACAGTATGTAGTGTTGATATTAAAAAATAATGTTCTTTTTCTTCTTGTAGTTCCCAGAACTTGAAAAGTCAAGTTTACAGTACAGTACATACAGTTATTTTTATAATATAATTAGCGTATTCATTATAAAGGTCTATGCGTGTAGTTATGGTATTGATTGAATTTGCTAAATCAAATATACTTTTATATCTGACAAAGGTTATGGGCGAGTTTTTTAGTTGGCGCCTTTGTTAACTGTCTCTTATACACATCTAGATGTGTATAAGAGACAGCATTAATCCCTCACACGGACCAGCAAAGTCAATATGGATTCTCTGTTAGTGGGTGACGTTGTTAAGGGGCAAGTTTGTTGTTGGGGGGCGACTGTGTATAGTTGGTGGGGCGAGTTTGCTAGGGGAAAGTTTGTTAGAGGGCGACATTGTAAGGGGTGAGTTTGTTAGGTGGCGAGTGCCTACAGTCAAGGGGTGTGTTTGTTAGGGGCAAGTTTGTAGGGGGCGAGTTGGTTAAGGGGCGCAATTGTTAAGGGGCGAGTTGACTGGTTCATCCTTCAAGGACTAACTATACATTAAAAGTCCTCTGGCATTGTATTGAATTCTTATTTCAGTGATCTCTTCATTTCGAAAGGGAAATTGTACTCTACTGCCCTTGGAGTAAAATTTGTGGCTAAGAATTAAGCCATGGTTCACTGCACCAATCCTGGGTCCGCACCAACCCTGGATCCACCCCAGCAACGGCAGCTGTGTTTCTCATAAATATTATAACTGGAAGGCTCTTTCTTTTGCAGGTCAGGTATTCAGGTCAGTCTCTAAAGAAGCAACCAAGCTGTCTTTACTTTTTTCCAAGCCACCAATTCCAAGTGTTGAAGAAACTCAGTCAATGCTCAGCTCACTAGAAATGAATGCTGTGGCACTGTTATCAGTTTTCTATAGTCTACCAAAGCATAGAGGTACTGTATCATAAAAATTTTCACCTCTACTTAAAGATTACATTCTTTCTATGGCCGTGTTTTCGCAGCACCTCCAAATTTTTTTATCCCATCATGCAAAATTATAGACAACAATGCAATGTGTTCAACATCAAAACATACATATTGTTGACCTGGCAGTTGACCCTTTTTTGGGCGAGATGGATAGGCCTAGGCATAGAACGAAATAGTTTGGTACCATTGAACTCTGGGAAATGTACTGTCACAATGATGTTTCGTTGTACTTCTACAGTATATAGGGAATGAGAAGAAGATGAAAAAGAATGTTAGCTTGGTGTGCTTTACGGTACAATAAACGATAGGAGGGATAGACCTGGCCCAGCCAGGCACTCACCCGGCAAGTCATTCCTTCATAGGAGTTCTTGATCAAGGTGACCAGTTTGGTTAGCACTCCATAAAGGCGTAGCAGCTTCCAGAGGGTCTCACGATCAATGCTGTCAAACACCTACTCAAAATCGACGAAATTGATATACAAATATTCATTATCATCTTTAATTATGGCCAGTGAAGGTGTATCTCGGTACACCATTTAACTATCATGTGATTTACTTTACTTTCTTGTTTTACAGGAATTGTTCTAAGGAATTCTACAAAACATGCTGTTGGTAACATTGTCGAAACTGTGAAGGTGTTAGTCACTAAAATTAAAAATAGCAAATATGAATTGTAAGAACAATCCCATACATAGCATCATTTATTTATGTATCTTTATGTAATTGATACATATTTTTACATCTAGTAATGGAGGTGTATCTCCATATTTAAGTTACTATCATGTGATTTACATTTAGAATTCATACAGAAACTACTGTCTTAAAATTTGCTTGCTTTATTGCTATTTTAATGGTAATAAATTATTCATTGAATCCAATTATCATATAAACTTATTAACACCATTTAGTACTGTAGTTACTGTAACTATCAAAAACAATACTGGCCATGTTTGAACCAGAGTCTTTAGTACAAAAAGCAGGAAAATTACCTCTGAGCCAAAACCTTACTTCACTCTCCTATATTTATATTATCTTAATGGTCAGTTTTCCACATAGGCTACAATGAGTCACCCTAGCGAAATTGTGTTGGTAAAATAAATGAAAAGTTAACTGAAAACATGTTTGTGTTTCTATTTATACTACAGTTCTGAGAGTGAGCTTCAGTCAACTGGTAGTGTCTGGGAAGTGTGTGATTTATTTGATGATCTTCCTATGAATAACAAAGCTGCAGTCATTATCAAGATGAATGAAGTGAAAGATTTAGTAAAAGATGCAATGACAGAATTAGAGGAGGTAATAAAAAACCAATATAACACAATGATGTAACTGTACAGTATATTCTAAAAAGCACTGGGTGTGTGAATATATAATTATTTTAATTTTAGACAAACACAGGGTTGAGAGCTCAGGATTTTTGAAATTAAGCATGTGACTATATACTGTAGAACCCCTTGAATTGGATATTCGAGTACTCTAGTATTAAGCAACACACTGGGATAATATTAGAATACAGATCATTTCGGTCGCGCCTTCATTTCGGTCGCGCCTTCATTTCGGTCGCGCCGTATTGTTATGCATTTCGGTCGCGATGAACAGCCTCAGTATGAAACGCTGATGCTTGAATTGGATATTCGAGTACTCTAGTATTAAGCAACACACTGGGATAATATTAGAATACAGATCATTTCGGTCGCGCCTTCATTTCGGTCGCGCCTTCATTTCGGTCGCGCCGTATTGTTATGCATTTCGGTCGCGATGAACAGCCTCAGTATGAAACGCTGATGTACGCACTAGTGCTTTATGTTTGGAAAATAATTTTTAAAGAGTTCTGTATTTTTAAAGATTTTTTGGTGCGTGTGTTTCAGACTGGGTATTAATTTTATTAATATTTTGTCTTTTTTTTACGATGCTTGACTATCATAGGCCTAATATTTTTTTGTATTTTTTTTAGTATGATTGTTGTTTTAATATAATTATAACATGTTTTTTTCTTCTTACAGTTTCAGAAGTAAAAAGTCAAGTACATATTTGTATTTATCAATTTCTGAATCATTCATAATAAAGGCCTAGGAATGTTGTTACGATTATGATTTAATTTGTTTAACCAAATATACTTTTATATCAGAATATTAAAATATATGTATTTGTTTTACAATTCATGTATTTTTTTTATAAATATGATCATCAGATTGATGACTCGAAGTTAATGGCGACATGAAGTAGGTGAACGCACTTGAACACCTCACTGCCACTGCCATGACCTGCTGAAAAAAGCTAGTCATCTATATTTAGCATCTGACCTACTTCTGTCTTTGCAGTGTAATGCGTTCACATTCCTGAAGGCAGCGTACAAAGAATATGCCTTCTTTCCAATTTTATGGTTAGGCCTAGTTGTTACCAGGCAACTAGTACAGGAGGCCTCTAAGTAGTGAATTTTTCTAGCTTTAGAAAGAAAGCCCGCCCCGAAGACCGAAACTGTGGAATGGCTATTAACATGTACTGTATTTAAAGTTATGTATTTAAACTAAAAAAAAATGGAAATAAAACAAACAAGAAAATACAAACCTTGTGCTGCTTCACCTCAAGAGTACCATGGGAAATTAAATTCTAGTGCAACTATAGAATAGGACTAGGAAAAGTCATTTTGTTGTGCTTATGAATATAAAAGAAGCCTGAAATAGGCCATTAAAATGTACGGTGTTTAATTATAAATATATTGAAAATTTTATGTGGAAAATAAATATGAAAATACTATATATTTCCTTCATTTCATTCATCATATATCATTCAGTATGTTCATTTATCAAATTATAAACATGATCAGAACATTCAAGATAAATGGAAACGTAACAGACAAGGAAACAAATGTATGAAAATTTAATCTATTGACTATATTTATTTCACAAATCTCTATTCAATTTATGCAGTAATAAAATATATATCGCAACAAACGTTAAAGAGAAACTTGTCTCAAGCCAAGTCGACTTTGTAACATTTTCGTTGTTTCTGTAAAACAAAAGAAAAATAACACCAAGTGATACACGTAATATTAATAATCATAAACTATAATATTATAGTACAGTATTATACAATAATTGTTAGTCAACTAATGTTTTATGTAAGTTTTGTGTTTATAAAAATACTATACTGCTTTAGCTCCCTTGTTCCAGATTTGCGGTCACACCGTCGGCGCTCCATACACAGCGACCGAAATGCAACGAAAATAGCGCGACCGAAATGAAGGCGCGACCGAAATGATCGGATACCTAATATTATAGTAGTGGCTCATTCATAGATTATCATAAGGCTAAAAAAAAAATTCTTGTGTTGGCCACGTTTTGGGAAAATCCAAAAAATGGGTAGGTTGGTAGGAAAATTGTTTTTTTTTTCTTTAACCAATAATGTGTTTATGCCTAAAAATAAGAAAATACACACAAATACAACAAAAATTATTTAAATCTATATTGAAGAACAAAACGATTGCACAATACTGTCGCATTACCTACCTAAAACAATTAATTGAATTGTAATATTGAATACAATACTGGCACTCATTTTGTAGGCAGAGACTGCTGATAGCCATGGAGATGATTGGCAGGGGTTTGAAGATCTTGTTGGCCCTGACAGCAGCAATGAGGACACTTGGTCTGAGAAGGATAAGGATGTGTTGTTGGCATGTATTGGCTTGTTAAAGGTCACAAGGTCATGCCTTAAAAAAGTCACAGCAACACTAAAGAAGAATGGGCAGTGGGAGGAGGATCAACATGTGGCACAGCTGGATGATATTGCAGATATTTGTGAGAAGATTAGTCCTTGTGTTGATGAACTAGCAGAAGCCCTCTATCCACCATTAACACATGAAAATGTCACGAAGAAGGTATGAAGCTTAAATATTGATACCATAGTATCCTATAATAATATTTTTCTTAGAGTACAAAGAGTACTGTTTTTTTAAAAAATATTCACTGCCAATTATTGTCAATTTTCACTGTTAGAATGTGTGATGGTTTGGCATTTTGATATAGTCACTTGTAAATCAAATTATAGAAATGAATGGGAAAAAGTAAAAAAAACCCCAAAAAACCCAAACTTTGATCAGTGTACTCTTTCAAATAGATTAAATGATATTTATAATAATGATAAATCGAAACCAATAAGTATGAGCAGATAGCACTAAATTCAATCATTATTCGATAAGTCAATCTAGTCGGACACAAATTTACAGTAGACCAAATAAATGAACTGGTAATTAAGTCTCTGCATGCTCTACCCATTTGCATTTGCAGCAGTGTAAAGCAATTACTGTTACTCAAAGCTAGAGCAATGACTGTTGATAGTCCTGTCACTTCTCCCTCCCCACCTCACTATACCAATGATGTTAGGACCTTGACACCTAGANNNNTATATATTTATATATATTTATATTTTTATGGTGACAATTAATTACTCCAATTTACAAATATACATTTTCAATTACAGTTAACAGTTACAATCATAATTATTATTTACTTTTTTTTATTACAAAACTGTGAATTCCAAAACATGTACAATTTAATAATTAATTTAAGTGCTTGTTAGTGGCCATATTGTGGTCGGATTTGCTGACTGTAATTAAAATCATGGAATAACCTTAGGAACACAGTGTACTTTGGCATTAAATAAACAAAAAAACAATCTCATTCGTTTTTGGATAAATTCACCCTTGGTATATATAGTTCACACTGAATGCATCCACTCGAACTGGCATCCACATGAACTATCATTTGCTCGAAGTAGCATCCGCTCATTTTGACTGGCATTCATAATAATAGTAATAGTAATAATAATAATAATAGTAATAATAATAATTATTATTATTATTAATAATAGATAATAATATAATAAATGTGAATATATCTTTTCAACTGGACTCACTATTAATTTTTGTGACAATATTTCACATCTGATCCAGGATGCATCATCACATGAAATATTCTTGCAAGAATAAGTAATTCTAGTTTAAAAGATTTATTCATTTTTATTATGTAACCAGTCTACCTAGATGAATAATAATATTCACAAATAGATAATAATGGAAATACAGAATAATAATAGATCTATAGTAGTCGTTTTACTATACTGTTTATGCCAATGCCATTTTGCAGTGGTGTTGTTTAATATTTTAATATGATGTTTGTCAAGCTATTTAAATCACAAAATTTTATAATTGGGATGTTTCCTATCAAAATCTCTTAGAAGTTGGTATTTTAATACTGTATACATCATGTTTCAGTTCATTTAATCTTTATAACTTATCTTATTCACAGATTGAGCAGTTGACAAGTGTCCTAAGGAATTTGCTTGAGAGAACAAAATCAAGTCATATATGTAGTGAAGAGGATCGGACATGGATTGATTTCTTGTTTAATGCAATTGATCATAATCTTGATAAAATCAATGGTGCCATAAAATGAGGAAAATACAGTCTGTTGACACTCAGTTGACTATTGATACTTAGATGGTCTATATGCTCAATTAACCATGAGACAATCAGGAGGACTATAGAGAGTCATCTGATTAATAATCTTATCAACATATAGCCTCTATGACATACATTCTATCACCTATATATACAATATATAATAAGAACCGATTTAATGGTGGCAGAAAATTTAGTTGGTCGCCTCGCTGAACTTTGAAAAATGTTGCAGAGGTTGGAATACTAGACTTGCCACAAGTCTCTTATTTTTTATTATTTTTCTCATTCTGGACAGCGCCACCAACGAGAAAGTTAATTTAGAGACGGAATAAGCGACTTGTAAAACACTGAAATCAGGCACCAGGATGCCAAAAGAATGACGTAATCTTATATTCCGTATTTGGATAAATGGGCGGACCGAAATAAACAATTTCAACCAATCAAATGTTCATATTATTGGAGCCACGAAACTGAGTCACTCGCGTCGACTAGTTAGGCATGACTAAATTTAAATAGTCCTCCCTAATAAAACGGGCCTAAAATATTTAGAATAGACCATAGTAAGACTAATGTTGGCAATGGCAAAAACAATTAAGCTTAGACTAGATGGCATACCATACAAATACAACAAAACTTTAACTTTCCAGTAGGATGGCTCAGGCCTCGCCTGGAGTCAGGTAGTAGGCCTAGCCTAGACTAGTAGAGGCTTGGCCTATTTTTAAGTTCTTACTTACAGTGGCCTACCTTTTTAACAATATTCTACCCTAAAGGCCTAAATCTGTGTAGCAGCTAGCGGTGAGCAAGGTTCCAAGTAGGCTTATAGCCTACGGTTATCAGTCCATGTCGTTCTCAGCAGGCCAGAACTATTATACTAACTGTTTTAATTCAAGTAGGTAGCCAAAAGGGAGCTGGAGCTTGTTCTAGTCGAGACATCCGCATCTTCAATTTTGAAAATTTACCAAGATTGATTAATATGCATGAAGTTAGCCAATCACGTGATTAACAAAATCAGTCATGCATACGATATCCCACATCAAATTTGATGTGGGAAATTGCACGCATGAATCGTTTTCCCAGGCCCTAATTCGAAAAGAATAAATCGAGTATGGGACGCCAATTAAATTAGGTATGGCGCGCACTAAGTGCAATAAAGAGTGAGTAACCTAAAATTAGGGCCTGGAACCCAGGCTATTGGAATACCTGCATCTGTTACCTACCCAACCCACCCAGTATCCAAATGTTTAACAACTTTGTAAAAATCTCATATTGCATTTGTTTTAGTTTTGATTTGCTTTTGTGAACGCACTAATTTTTATTAAGTGCCACCGTTTCAAAGGTGTACGTTCGAATAAATAAATAAATAAACTATGGTATGTCACCCAAAATTGGGTTTGCCAAATATTTTAGAGGGTTGCAAGACACTATAAATAAAAAGCAATTGTTAGGTATACATCATACTATAATTCACCTTGTAAAGAGAAAACTTTCTATTATCATTTCAAAATTTGTTTCTGATGCACACTAGTAGCCAATCACCTTTATTGGTGCAGCAGATTTGGTTGTATCAGCGTTTACAATATATAAAAAGAATGGATTTAATGGTGGCAGCAAATTTAGTGGGTCATCCCACCGAACTCTAAAAAATCTCACAGGCCTTGACATGCCTGCATCTGTTATCTACCCAACATGCACAGTATCCAAATATTTTACTTATACTATTAGTTATACGGATTTATTATTATTTTTATTAACTTTGTAAATCCCAATGGACAGTATCTTCAAAATCATCAAAATCTTCCATCAAACCAGCCCATATTTTAAAAATATATATCCAAAATATTTTGGCATATATAGCACACATATACGATAACCCATTACTCTGCCCACATGGGCTGACATAGAAATAGCCCATGTGGGTTCACCCATTTTTTTTTCTTGTGGGCCCAAATGGGATTACCTATATGGGCATGCTTGTATATTATAAACATACACCTACATGCTTTGGCCTGATTTTTTCCCATTATTATATGATTACCCATAATTTGCCCACAAGGGCTGACCAACAAAGAGCCCTTATGAATGTTCCTATTTTTTGCACTCAAGGGCCCCAAACGTGCTAAACCATTAGGGCCTGCCCCATATTTTGAAAATATATATCCCAAGCAGGGATGTAGCCAGGATTTTGAAAGGGGGGAGCCGTTATGCGAATTACGCGGGGTCCAGGGAGCGAATCCCCCTGTGAAGTAGCGCACTTTGAACGTTCTTAGGACTATTTTGAGAGGATAAAGTAAAAATTGCAATAGATGCATTATGAATAAGTGCAACAATAATTATATAATATATAAACAGTGGCGGATCCAAGAATTCGAAAGAGGGGTGAACCAGGGAGAGAGGACCGTGGAAATACCCACCTCAGCCCCACCGTGGTTGGGGGTGAGGTAAGAAAATTTGTGATTAGGGAATCTCTGGATGGCCGGATATTACAATTTGAATATACAGTATATATATTTTCCTTTAAAAAATGAGGGGAGGGGGACGGACCTTAAATCCACCCCGACTCAAAACATTCTTTATCCAAAAGAGTCATAATCACGAAAAATGGGCATGAAAAACCAGATCACATCCTAAAAACAAATGTAGGGGCCCTCGCCTCAGCAGTCACTAAGACATACTCTGAGTCAGGTGCCGACTCTATGGAGTTTAATGATTTTCACGATGGGAAAAGCGAGACTGTGCTTTGGCACTACTTAGTATTGAGCGTGATGAAGCAGACAACATTGCTAAC